ATAATATTAACCCGGTGGCAATATTAAATTACGTAATTGCGGATCTCATAACCATTAAATCACTCTGACGTGTATTTTCCTCTATCGTGCTGGCAATCATGTCGTCCTAGTTTCCACGTGGAGAATTCAGTAGTAACGGCACGAGCGTGGTCAGACCGAAAAGTAGTAATGCTTCGCAGCCCCGTACGTACGATCTCGAACATTTTATTTAATGTCTGTCATTAGTCAGCTAGCAGCAATTCTCATTCGAAATCACCGAGCTAGTCGTAAATCTCTCCGGTGTGTGTGTGTGTATCTCTTTCTACCAACAATTGCTCAGCAAGGTTTGATCGACGGTGAAACGAAAGGAGGAACCGATGACGAGGATAATAAGGATTCGTTAGCCTCGACGATGGGATTGCTAGACCGGAGTTCTCTTGCCAGGCCAAATTCTACCAACTTTTTTTCCACCCAGATTGCGTTCACTTCCGGCGCTGCCTGCGAGATCGGCTTTTTAAAATGCCGGTAATTTCCATTTTTAACGAGGCCGCAATGGAATCCTCCCCCAACGACGCGGCGCTACGTCAGATTTATCTTTCTCGCTCTAACGGGTCTGATCGTGTAAGAGAAATTAACCGTGTGAAACTGCGGGAAAAAACTCCCCGTTAGACTTTCAGACTTGCTTGAGAAAAACGACGAATCGATTCACCGCGATTTTTGTCTGCCGACACACGATGGGGAAAAATTTAATTTGAATCGCGGTGATAATTAATTCTTCGCTGTGTAACATTCGGTTTCGCTGTAGAAATTCTTTATATTTTTCTAATAATAATTTCCAAAATTTTGTTTTCGAATGACAGCAATATTTCAAATAGCAGAGAAGTCAGAAAATTGGGAATGCTTGTTAAACATTCTTGGAAGCTGTATTTAATCTTGCACATACGTTTGATTTCTCGGTAGGAGGATTTTTCCTACGGTTGCTTCGAGGATTCCATCCGTGCTGGTATGTCAGACCGTCGAGACGGAGAAAAGGGAAAAAGGAAACACAACACCGAACAGGACAAGACGTAGATCCCAGGGGAATACAGGAAGAAACGATGGAGAAGCATCGGACGCCCCACTTACAACTTTCCCGAACTGACCAGCTCTGTTTTCCTTCCATTCACCGAACCTCTGTTTTAAAGATCGCAGGTAAGATAACGTCCGAATAAAATACGAAACTTTAGTCTGCAGCTCGAAATATTAGCCAAACTTTCGAGTCTGTCATAAGAGATTCTCTCCGTGTAAACGTGTCGAGGAACAGTTTCTTCAATTACGAAACAATTTTTGTGCAGTAAAGAATGAAGAAATTAGAAATGATTTTCCTTCTAAAACGTGAAAACTCAATCCATTTCAAGGGACACTCGAAATACGAGGTGCGACAATATGGTTTCATGTTTCGAGAATATTTGCTTCCGTCAAAGTGGCAACAATATAAACAGTTACGTCTACCCGCTGTGAAACCTGATCACGTTACGTTTGAATGAAGGTAAACATTGTCAAACGAGTCAAACGGGTTCAACCTGAAATTGCTTCGTCGTGGATTTTGTACCATGACAATGCTCCCGTACGTTCAACTATTCTACCGAAAGAGTTTTTCCAAAAAATGATCTTGCAAATTCTAACTACCTCTCTACATGCACCTCAATTTTTTCCTTTATTAGTGGATTCTTGCAAATAAATTTTCACGGCCACCTTCAATTTTTTTATGCACAACCCTACAGTTTTTTTGTCTATTAACTAATGGGCATTAAGACTAATTCAATGACCTGAATACAATATTTTTCTACATACAAAAATTGAAACTTATTTTAAAAAAATCTAAGGTCATCATCCTGAAGATCCTTTAAAAAATTTTCATCGGTCCACTAATAAGGACACTAATTAGTGTGATCACATTAGGTGAACTATCCTGCATTACACAATAATTACAAAACTCTGCACATTGTTAAGTATTACGAAACGAACTCCAGATAACGCGAACACCACGAAGCAAGTACACACCGGCGATAAATTTATGCAACGTCGACACGCTCGATGAAGATGCACGCTCATGGCTGTCTTTGTTCGTACTCCGATGGCAGAGCGGGGAAATCTTACACTACACCAAACCAGGAAGGAAAAGGGGGAAGCAGAGTAGAAAGACACGGTGGAACGAGACGCAAGAAGACAAATAAAAGTGTAGCGTGGGGGCAAGACGAGAGACAGCAAGGGAAATAAAAAGAAATTGTCATCGTCCGGGTGGTTGCAACCACCCTTGTAACACCATGCGCCCCTTACACCCCTGAGCTTTCCTCAGGCCCGCTTTACAGCCACTGTCATTTGTTTTTACGTTCGCCCCGCGCCGTTCCTGAAAATCCGTCGCCTGTCGCAAACGCCATTCAACCCCTCCTTGTCCTGCGAGATTTCGTCGTTGGAATAGAGAGACACAGCCGGAGCGCGCGCTCGTGAAGAGAAGTTCAAACGCGGAGGCAATCTTCAACATCTCCCTCTCCCCCTTCCTCTGTCCTTCTTTCGCGGAATAAGAAGGGCACGCGAAAAGCTGACAGAAAATTTCCAAGTCTCTAGATAAAGGTGTTCCCACTCTTCCACTACTTTCTCCCCTCTTCTTCCCTCTGTTGAAGTTAGTCTGCGAGTAGGTACACTTTCGTAGAGGAGAGGGCGAAACTTTCCTTCGCGATGTTTTCTATATTTGTCAATGTTGAACTTACGCGGAAAGTTTTCGGATGAAATTCTGTTCAACTGCAAGATCAACCGAGGATCTCCGGGGAGATTAATTCAGCTGGATATTGACTTTGTGAAAATGTCTGCTAGACATCTGTACCGTGGCAACTTTCGGGGCATCGTTGATTCGTTTACCAAGAACAATCGATACGAATCGTGTTTCTCTCTTGTAGGAATTTAAAAAATAATTAAATTTGATTTCATTCGTTCGGAGGGAGAATTTTGTTCGGGTTCGATGTTAATATTGTAACTGGCTGTTCGAGTGTGAAATTAAGAGCTTGTTGAAAGGAAGCACGCCTTTTCGAATAGCGTGGCAATTTTGACGGAGAGGAAAGAGAGATTTTTAGAAAAAGAATAAAGCCGGCGGGGGATCTGAAAGTTTTGAATAGAAGTTTTCTGCTTGAACTTCGCGAAAAAGTTTCGATGAGAATAAAGGGAAAAAGGTTGGAGGTTATTTCTGAGGGGTTGCGACAAAGACAGAAGTTGAAGACGACAAAGACGGTATCGCGTATTAATTCTGTCCGACTATTTAATTAGCAAGGCCTAAGTAGAGAAGATAAGAGTTTAATGAATACAGATAGCCTTGTAATCCTAACAGTTCCCCTCTTCCCTCTTATCTGTCCCTTTGTTCTTTAAAAGAACAACGAAGCCGGGTGAAAACTTTGCACGGAGAATGGAAGTGTTACTTCACTGACAACCGAATTTCTCCTTCATCTTCTGCTTTTTAGCTAATGAAATGTTACACGAATTTGCGATAATTTAAATACGCGATCAGAAAAAATCACTTTCGACCTTCTCGTTATTTCTAATCCTCTATTTTTTCAAATAAAAAAAGTCTTTATTTTACATTTGAACCTGTGAAAAAATACGAAGAATATTGAAAAAAAAAATAATGAAATTACTCACGGACTGTTATGTTGGCAGGTTTCACGATTTTCGGGCAGACCCTAAAGAGACCCAGCTTGAAACGTACGCTCACTACGTTGGCGAAGTTGCGTGGTAAGTATGGAAGAATCAGTTTCTCCTCGGTGTGAAGCCAAGCAGGACCCAAAAGCGCCGTGCTTAAAGCTGCGAGCGCTGCAATTCCACAAACCACGCCACACCTGGTCAATCTAATACCACCAGGACCACCAGAGCAGCACATCTTCGTCTTTGAAATTCCACGTTCTCTTCAGGTAGACATTTTACAGTACCTAATAAATCACCTCACTGATTTCAACAATTCTCTCCTTTCGTTTCGGCTGCTAACTTTTCGCGAACTTCGACACATTATCATACGACGATTTGTCCACGAGTTAAGCGATACACTGTCTTTAATTCTGGATCACTATTACACTAGAATTTTCACGTATCTGTCCCCACGTGTCCCTGAATCCGAGGAAACAATCTTGAAACGGTGTCCCATTGCTCCCAATTAGGTATCCTGGAAAATTAAGGTGAAAATTGAAAATTAACATTTTTTTTTTTTAAATGCTACATTGAAGCATATATTATTTTATTAAGTAATTTTAATTCGTTTAGAATTTTTTAATAACCAAGGGAAATTGTTGGAGTATTAAATTTCATTCCCTGAATTTTTTTGAAAATGCTGCGTGTAAGTAGGTATGTAATTATTTTACTCTTTAATATTGTATATTTAATAAACGCTAATTTTAACACCTTCAATTTAATTTTTAAATTGGAATATAAATTTTTATTTTCTCAATATGAAAAAGTAATTATCGAAGAAGATAAATCAGCGAAAGGTATTAGCACGTAGGAAACAGTGGGCAGAGTGCCTTATCGATCGTGTACCCCATATACTCTCGATTTTCACAGTAAGTCTAGACGAAGGATGTTTCAGGCCCGTGGCGATTTGTCGGTCAACTAGCGATACTGTCGTTCTTGTTCGATGAAAGCGAATAATCCGACCTCGATAAGCGAGTTATCGAGGTACCATCAAGTTTGACTTTATCGTGCTTCTCTTGGGAATTCTCGTGTCCGTCGCATGCCACCGCCGTTTAATTCGCAATGAGAATTCCCGCGGTTCCACTCGGCACAGATTCCCACGTCGAGACGAAAGTTAGAGTCGCGGCTAAATAATTGATCAAGAAAAGTACTGGCACCGGGGTGAAAGTTTTCCCCTGTCAACTACTGTCAACATGTCTCTCCACTACGTCAAACAATTTTCCTTCGAGCAAAGTCACCGAAACAACATAAATCTTCAACAAGTGTTTTACTATACGGTATAATCTTCAATTCTTAAATAAACGCAATAATTTATTCGTATAACTCTTGAACAGAAAAAGAATAAATATTTTTTAAGAAAAATATCAATCTTTAATTTCTTATCATTTCATAAAATCTGCAAGCTGTATCGTTTTCACAAAAAGTCGAGGTGCGACATAAATCCTACGGTGTAATCTTTAGTTTTTAAACAAAGATAGTAATTTATTCGTGCAACTTCCGAACGGAGAAAGAAGAAAAATTTCGAAAAAAGATTATATCTTTATATTCCTATCATTTTGCAAAATCTGCAAGCTGTGTCGTTTTCACAAAAAATCGAGGTACAACATAAGGCTGATGGATGTTGCAGTTTTGATGAGAAGCCGTTCATCGTATTTCGAACCTAGCATTCAGTTGAATAAAGAACACTGCAGCCGGTTGTTTACCGGATCAGAAACGTCACTGAGCTAGTTTTATCGATGCTGGTGTCGGAACAGCGGACGTTCAAACACGAACGCGTGCCGAATTCGTTGACTGCGAAACAGATCAAACCGACAACGGTCTGGATAGATAGAAAAGTGGGATGGAAAAACCACCGCGTGAATTTGTTTTAAATGGCCAGCAGCACTAACTATCGCAGCCCGACCACTTCATGAATGACATATGCACGGCCAGCTTCCATTTCGATTCTTATATCCTCACGGAACCGCGAGCCAGTTGAAATTTTTATTCTATTTTCTTTTGTCACAGGCGAAAGGAAAATTTATCTCGTTCATAGTTTAATTCCCCCCATGTATAAATTCGACCGAACCTGGGGAAAGCTAATACAATTTTTCCTGGGATTAAAAATTCCACCGGTGATTTAATCCAATCCGAAAGTAGATTATTATTTTTCAGCGCACGTTTGTTCTAACGTATGTACGAATACCAACGGACCACCCTGTATATTATTGATTTCTATATCCACCTCGTTTGCTCAAAATACACTCTCTATTATCCTTTGACATAAATCTGTGTCTTAACGCACGAGTAAACGTACCTATTAACCCTTTCGCTACGAAGAGCGTACACATACGCCCGTCTGACACCCACAATTTACGAATTTATTTTCGCAATTCACAAATGACACATCGCTGTCGACTGAAAGTTAAAAAAAGCTCCCGAATGCACCAGAAATTTGACCATCGTGAAACAGTTGATTCTCATTTTTTATCTTTATTTTTATGTCAGCGTCGAATAATAACTGCGACACTCTTTTTCTCAAGAGTGTCGTAGCGAAAGGGTAAATATACAATTAATATGTCTCCATTCCCGGACACATTTCAGACGGGGATAGTGTTCGATGTCGCGGGGTGCTCGTATTTTTTACACTTGGCGTAATTTTACGATACAGTGAAACCGCCGGCTTGTATCCGGGCCGCGTTGACCTGACGTTTGAGCGACGCGCATGCAGAGCCGGGAATAAAGCTTTTTCGAAACGGCATCCGTGTGACATCGTAAACGAGAATTTACTTCCGCGAGAATATTTCCGTCTTCGTAAATACAGGGGCTTCCCTCCCCTCCTCGTCGCGCCGACTTCCAGCCGTCGCGCAAATTTCCGCCGAGAAGTTTACACCGTTCGCTCGTTCTAAGCAGCTGTGCCACCCCCCCGGCACTCATTGAAATCCGCGGATTTTCGGAAGTTACGCCTCGCAAATTGCCCCGTTCCCGTTTCCACGTTCGCCCGATCCGGCCACTTTTCGATCGCGTTAACCTACTTTTCCCCATTTTGTTTATAATTCGCCAAACCATCGAGAGGTCGCGGAAGCGACTTCATTAGCAAGTAGGCAACCGTCGATTTATCGAGGCCGTTTTAATGAGCTCCTCTTAGAGGACAATTTTATTCCATCGAACTGGGTCACGGGGAAGAGAAAGAGAGAGAGGGAGAGACTGACAATGAGAAATCTTTATCTGGCGAGGCACGAATCGCCAAGGAGATATCAGCTGGATTCGGTGGATATTAAAGAGACGTTAGAAAAGGGAGGGGAAAATAGAAGTAGCGATCGGTATCGATCCAACGACGGATAAGCGTGAAAACACGCGAGAATCATCGTGGCGTGGAACAAAGAAAGGGTTTGCCGAAGGGTGTTATACCGCTTCTGCTCATTTTCCAATCAGAACGTTTAGTATTTTTATCCCGCTATAAAAATGGACATTTACGGTCGATTATGAAAATAATTTCCTGATAATGGGGCACCAGATCGGAATGTTATGCTGGAATAACGTGTCACGTATAAAACTCGATTTCCATTGGTGTAAATAAAATTCGAATTAAACCAAGCATTAAAACTACACAAAAACATATTTTAATATTCAACTGTTAATTCTTTACCTGAAAGCCAAACTGACCAATGTCCATTAGAAGTTTACGGGAAAAATCAAAAAAGATCCAGAATCACACATAAAAACAATTAAGTCAAACAATAATATTTCATTTATCACGTGACGTGAATAGATCCCTACCTGCAAAATTCAAATTTGAAAAAAAAAATGGAGTTGGGTTATAATGAAAAACAAAATTACGTCGTTTATTAATAAAATATTGTCAGCAACGACGGTTTCCAATTTTTCCAAACAATTCATTCACTCCGCTGACCAATGAAAACGTAATCTACATTACTATACGGGTACCCACATTCACGAACGATATTGCGAAATGCTAATAAAAATGCAATAAGCCCGAATAGATATCGCGGTCACTGAAAGAGGAAACCTATTGCTCCTGGCTGGTGAAAAAAGGTATTCGAGTTTTCTCTGAAGCCAGACCGAATCGGCCACGGTGGGAAATGCGGTAGCGATAATGGTATCCCTCTCCACATCCGCGTACACCAGGATCACTACCGGTGGAAGGTACCTTTTTCGAGCTAGCCGTAATAATGGTAATTGGAATTAACTTCTTGGAGAACCGACGAATGTTTTAATGGTTTTCTACTTGTCTGCAACACTTCACCGCGGGATCGCGCATCTTTTCGATCGTTTTCAAAAATTCTGAAAACCTACTTCGAAGCTCGTGTATTTATCTTGGTAATATTCATTCGATGCAATCATTTCTGATCTTTCGAACAGAAGATTTCATGTTAACAAGGTAGCTTGAAGGAAGTCGAAATTTAACGAAAGATCATTAATGAAACAATTAACAAGTTGAATGCTGGACCAATTCTACGTAACTTGTCCACTTAACTGCGCCGAAATGAATTCTTTATTTAAATACAACACATCCCGGCATGCATAAATAATATGTCAACAGTTAGAAATAGGACTGCTTAAATATCCTGTATGATACGTTTGATGAAAATTTTACAAATATTACCATTTATTCAAATTAAACCGCCGCTCACCGAAGACCCCCACGGCATTCAACGTGTTAATCACGTCAATTTTCCGTATTACTCTCGAAACGTGCACACAGTGTAATTTTCGCTAAAACGATCACGCGTACTTGGCACGTTTGCACGGCGAAACAAGAAGTAACCTGGAAATCACGGTATAAAGAAGTAATTAAACCGTCGCCATATTCCACGTCGCTTTCATCTCTTTCAGTCGAAATTCATCAGGGAGAAGTTCTCGTTTAAAAGCGCACAACAGTTTTTCCGGGTCCCGGTGAAGAGCATTCGAAGAAGGCGAGAGAACATCAAAGAACGTTAGAACAACCGTCGGCATTCGCTCAGAAACCACCGTGGAATTTTTCAACTTTTCTCATCGGACCGTCGAATCTATCGTGACCGGAGCTAGAAAACTTTTCCACGAAGCGAGAGAGAAAAGCGATCAGAAAAAAAGGGAAACAAGGTGAAAAAGAAATGTAGAGTGACAGCGCGCGCGCGTCACTCCTCGCGAAAGGTGAACGAGGAAGGCGAGCAAGCTTGGCGCTGATCCTTCCAGGCGTGAATCGTGGTTGGTTCG